TTTGTGACCGGAAGCTATGTCTGTATTTTAAGGATCCTTTTTCAGGACATGCTTGACATTTGAAGGAATACATAAGTTACCAAAGAATGCTCTCGTATCTTGGTGCGCGTACTGAATTTATCGTACAAAGTGCCAGCTGTTACCGGAATTGACCACTGCGAATTGTTTTCACGTTCTTAGTGGCCGATTCTGGTAATAGTTGGCACTTTGTTCTGTCTCATTTCGATAAATCTATCGACGAAGTAATCAGGATTATTTAGCTTTATTTGCGCTGGTAGTGACTATATCCTGGTTGACATATCTGAATTGAAAATAAATGCGGACTTTTGTAGCCACTTTGTAAATCGTTCCTGCAAATCACATATTCAGCGAACGTTTGAAAAGGCACTGTCGATCATCCAAATTGATTATGGGTTATTTTTGAAATTAGAAATAAAACTACACATCGCGTTATTGTGTTTTCGCGTTTAAACACTGGTACACTCATGAGCCACCTGTAGATACATTTTGGATGGATCTGCTTCGTCAATTATCGCAAAATGTCGTTAAAAAACAGCGCTTTCAATAAATCTGCATATAGCTAGTCCCAACAGGCGTCAAAAATGTTTTTTTTAATAAGCTTATGGAAAAATCTAATCAGAATATGTTTCCTAGCAGATGGAATGATAGTTCGTGGGCTATTACCGCAGGCAATCAATAGACGATGACATCCAAATGGCAGGTAACAGTATTTTTGACGAAATCATTCTTTCTCTGTATTTTCGGTATTACTTACTGACACCTGAAATTTAATATTCCTCCGCCTTTGTCAACTTGATAACGAAAGGGTTGGCTTCGGCAGAGAGAACGTTCCTCAAGGATTGTTCTTGGTGTTTTAATGAAATATAAATGATGCATAATAGATCGAGTTTGCTTTGTGAGGATGGGTCTCGCTGCTATTGGAAAACTTTCTCTCGACAAACGTAAGCATCCTCGATGAATTTCAATTTAATTTAAAACGAAATGTGGTAGATAAGCCGAGGAAACCGGCGGTCGAGTAGGTGAACTCGGTTTTGCCGTGGATTTTCAATCAGGGTATTGATTTTTGGAATATACAACGGATACTAAAAGTTTTGCAATATGAGGCACTGTACGTACAAGGCCACAGAAAATGTGGCATGACGGAGTCTAGCCGGGTATTGAACAGCAAAAAAAAAAGATAAAGTAGCTAACATCAACTCCAAGAATAGCAAATAATTGTGCTTTGAAAGATTGCTTTAATATTTGATCCCAACGATGCTTCTACAAATATGAACCACTAAAGTATTATAAGGATTGCTGTTCAATGAACAATTTGCGTCTTTTGATATGCTGCAAGATTAAAAAATGCCAGTTCCCTTTCCAATTTGTCTCAGGTTATTGGGATATTAGTCAAAGGAACAATAAGCGGAAACATCGCTGTAGGGCTGAGGTAGAACTTCGTCTTTATCCACTGACAAAAGCCAATGAGGGAACAACCGGGTAATATTTCATTACCGAATTCCAAAGTTTACCTTTTATGTGAGTCTCCCATTCATGAATTGTTTTCGTTGAATAGACGAGGTACGGTTTTGTGGATAGAATGGCGAGCAGTTTGTATTTCTTTTCTGTTTCAACATAACAAACAATAATTCGTAGAACAATATAAAATCGATTGCCAATAAATCGGAATTTGGTATTTTCTTTTTTAGAAATAACTGCGTTATTTTGCGGTAAAATAGGAGCCAAAACGAAAAAAGAAAATCAAGAAAAAAACTCCCTACGAAACTACGTTTGAAATAACACAAAGTTAGTTTGAGGTAAAATCGAAACGAAAACGAAAAAGAAAATCAACGAAAACACCCTCTACATTTTTACAGGAATGTCCCAACATTGTATAAAAAGAAAACGTACCGAATAGTCGATGTTCCACAGTTGAACGACATACACGTATCGTGCAGCAAAAGAAAAAATAGGTGACCATCATTGAAAAATCGTATGCTTACGAACTGTGGCGGGCTTCAAGATAAGGAGCAATGTAATATAGTACAGGCAGATTAGGCTTTGAGATAGACGCTCCGTGAATGAAATATAAAAAAGTAGAAAGTCCAAAGTATCGAAGTCCATTGGCGCAGCAAGTAGATGGCAAAAACGATTTGTCAAAGAACTAGTAAGATGGTGGAAGAGTACTTGCTAGCTGTATCAGATAAACACGGATTCCAGTGCTGGTAGATTTTTACGTAATTTTCAGAGGAGTGTAAGTAGTATGCGACTGAACTCAAGAAAGTGATCCACAGTAACAGTATGCATAGTGCTATCACTCTTTAAAACGACAGGATACCAGGATATAGCTGTTCACTATGTGAAAAGTTTTGATAGAGTGTGTTATCTGTTTTGTACTTACGGTAATCTTTTACACTTTTTCGACAAATACCTGTTTTTAAAATAAATAACGACGTAGCGATCTGAACTCCGACAAGCCAAAACAAATAACCTTATTACTTACTGCATGCGTAAGCGGTGTAAAAATGGCATAGAATAATAATTGGAAAGGAAATGTCAGAAGAGTAAATGTTGAACCTAACGCGCCTGTAGTAATATTCAAATGTGTATAGTTCATTAACATTGCCGTCAAGTAAATTGCACTTTCTTCTGCATCTGCTTGACTACGGTCTCTTATTAGCGAGCAGTATACTGTGCATAAGAGTGTAATTGAACAGTTAGTATACAAAGTAAAAATACAATGAAAACCTATTGTCCTATTTTACGGTCTCCCCAGTGGATAGTTGAAAAACTACATGCTTCTTTTCTTCAGTTCGCTTTTTTGAATTTGTTGATATTGTAGTTTTAACGCTTGCTGTGCTGTTATACCCATTCCATGCCTGAATTGATACGAAGTGCTCAGATGATGCTCGGCTGGTGTACCTCCGGTGCGAAAGGGTTCCGAGACGGTCCGTTAGAGAACCGACATCGATCAGTAGGACAACGAGCAGGAATAACGTGGTCGCGGGGCTTGCATAGAGAAAAGTACTTCTTAGCCCTGATCGCATAGCCTAGTTTTTTGCTAGCGGCTGCCGCTGTTGACGGGTTGTGACGTGAATCGAGATAAATTAGAAACTTTCAAATGTGAGTGACGATTCTAGGTGCACAACTGCACGGAAAAGCGGCACTCCGGCTGCTCAGCTGGTTGTTAATATGTATGATTTGTTTTTGCTGTGGGCGCAGCAGCGCTTGTCTATCGAACCGTGCAACAGACCAGTGGCGCATCACCTTTACTATAAATAAAAGTAAAAATACATTTTTAAAACAAGCATTTGATCAGCTGTGAGAACGAATTACGATTTCGAAAAATATGCCGCTTATAGACACTTCTTGAACGTATCATGCTTTTATTTCAAAACCTGTGACGAAGCAGCTTCAATATTAAGAATATTTCCAATAGAAAAAAATATTTTTGAATGTTTAGTTGATTTTAACAGCAGTTATTAAAAGCATGTTTTTATTACTTACGTTTCACTATTTATGTCAAATAACTAGTTTTGCATACATGTTGTTAACAGTACTTCATCAAATGTCTTAATTAATATTTGTATCGATATAAATTAAGTAAACATGTGAGATATACTGAAGTATCCTGATCAATTGATCATAAGACATAAAATATGTCTTTTTTTTACCGTACTATTTAATGGTCAAAATTTGATATAGTTATTATAGATAAGCATCAGATCCTATAATTACAGTATTTGTGAAGCATTCGGTGGATTTGCTTTGACTTATTACAAAGTTTGTAGGTTTGTAGTTTGTAGTTAGATGACCATGTCATATATATACGTTTTCATTCGATACCGATCTGGTAGAGATTCTTGAGGTAATGATCAATAACTATTTTGCGGCCGTCGCCATTTTCTATTTAATACAGCGCCATTTCGCTTATTGTGTTTCTCTCATCAAGCCCTTTCATTTGATACCCATGTCATAAGGGCTATTATGGAAATTATCAATCGCCATTTTGTTGAATCCGCCATATTGGATTCAAAATGGCAGCATTTTTATGGTTACCAGGTGTCTAAGCTTAGGTTCAAGTCTTTCCCTACCATTTAAAGTGTGTCATTTGCATCTCTTAAAGGGAAATCACGATATCACATTGTCATATTAGATGTCCGCCATATTAGGTTCAGGATGAAGTCGATTCACTCATCAATGGCTATTTTACGGCCGTCGCTATTTTGAATTCAGGAGAACGCCATTTCGCTTATTGCGTTTCTCTCATCAAGCCCTTTCATTTGATTCCCATGTCATAGGGGCTATTATGGAAATGCTGAAACGCCATTTTGTTGTATCCGACATATTGGGTTCAAGATGGCGGCATTGTGTGGTGGCCAACTGTCTAAGTTTAGGTTCAGATCTTCCTCTACAATTTCATGTGTGGCATTTGGATCTCTTAAAGGGAAATCACAATATCACATTGTCATATTTGATGTCCGCCATATTGGATTCAGGATAAAGTCGATTCACTTATCAATGGCTATTTTGCGGCCGTAGCCATTTTGGATTCAGGAGAACGATATTTCACTTATTGTGTTTCTCTCATCAAGCCCTTTTTTTGATACCCATGTCAAAGTGGCTATTGTGGAAATGATAAATCGCCATTTTGTTGTGTCCGCCATATTCGGTTCAAAATGGCGGCATTTTGTTGTGTCTAAATTTAAGCTCAACGCTTCCCCTGTGGCAGTTGAAAGGTATAAACTTCAACTACAATTTTTAACTGAATTGCTTTAAATTTGGAAACGGTCAACGTCACAGAAAGGCTGTTCTGAGAAATGACCAGCAGAGTTATTACGTAAAAAATCTGTATAATGTAAAAAAAATAAACGACAAAATATCAACTTGCTAACTAGATACCTCCTAGCGTACAAATGATTCAAAAAATGTTTACCTCCAAAGCGAGATTTTCTCTTCTCTTCCGCCACTGAGCATCACGAGATCCAACCGAGATTTACCATCATTAGACGCAAGTCAGCAGGACCGGTTTCTAAGGAAGAAACTCGTTTCAGCGAACCATCGAGGTGCACCGGCGACCAACAAGAAAAACGTCTTCTTCTTCTCTTTCCTTCTTTCTTCTTCATCGCCGCTGAGTGCACTTTTTTTCTGTCCGACCAGACCGCGGTACAGTTAACGTTATTCATCGGATACGGTGAACGCGGCTCACTCTCTGACCAATATAAAAGTCAACCTGATCGCCATTACGCAACGATGTATTTTCCAACCGAGATTACTATCTCGGCTTCATGCTGTTGTGTTGATCTAGATCTACGCGGAGGTATGGGTGTGCTTTGTAGCCCTAAGTATTTAAATGGTTTCGTGGAAATCCCTAATCAAGGCACGGTTCGTTTCAATATTCGATTGTGATCGTACGAAACGTTTTCCACGATTTCCACTGTTTGAGAAATTTGGAAAGATTGAGTGTAGATGATGATTACGTCATCGGTAGTTATTTACTTTTTTACACGAATGGCAACCCTCACGTTGTCTTCGCTTGAAAACGAAACGCATTTTCGGGGATTCCCGCAAATAATGCGTACGTTTAGTGAACAGCGCGCGGTAATTCCCCTACTCGCTTTAGAACCGAGTAGGGGAATTACCGCGCGGTGTTCACTTGTCTAAATTTCCTCTATCAGTGAATTGTTTCGTTTGGATATTATAGCGAGTAGACGTATTGTAAGCATAGTAAAGCAAGTTAACAGTTGTGTTACCATTGATTCCATTAGCCATAGTTTAATGTTTAAATAAGATATCGTTTCACATAGACAAATCCAAGTTATACCAAAAATTGTTTGAAAGATTTAAAAAATATCATACAAGTACGAAAGTACAAAATGTACAAAAGTTAGTTAACGAAGTGTGGCGAAATTACAAATTAGAAGCAAAATCCGACAAGGAACTAGATATTATTGTATCTAAGAGAATCGAAGAAGAATTGCAAGCGGCGACTAAGAATAAATCCAATCTACTAAATTTTTTTTCTAAGGTGAGTGAAGAAATCATTTTAGGTACCTATGAGTACTAGAAATATTAGAAATCGCCAAAAAGTTTCTCTTTACTGATTAGAAAATATTATGGCCTATCTCAAAGTATAGAGGTAATATTCATTATATTATTGATTTATTTCTTATGATTGATTGCGTCAATTGGTCACAAAATACAGGATGTTAGTTTTATACATATATTCAGAAAACTGACACCCTGTATTTTGTGACCGGAGCGAATTGCTCGTTTAAACATATTAGATTCAAAGCCATAGGGTTTTGTATTTACCATATATATTGCCATACTTTGTATTTATGTAGCTTAATAAGAGAATCTTTAGCAGAAGCCATTGAAAGTTTTTATTTTTAGGCAACCTGTAAACCTGCAGAGAAAACACAAATTATACGGTCAGCTTCAAATATTAAAAAGAGGAAGAAGATAAAATAAAACTCGGTAATGAATCACAACAGCAATGCGAAATTAATGAAAATACAGATAAACAGAGAGCAAAACCTTCTCAGGAAGCTATGAAAAATAAGATTGCTCTACTCGAAAAAAATCCGAATGACATAATATTTTTGTCCTTTACTCTTTGCTGAATACCGTATCAGTAAAATATAATCTCTATCCTAAATCTATTTTCTTATTTTTCAAATTATAATTATAAAAAGGGAGATGGGGGGTAAATAATTGTAATAAATCTGCTTACGTAATGATTGAACGGCCCCTAGTGCTGAACGTATAAATATACAAAAAATTATGACACTGACGTAAATTTTCTAAAACTACTTGCTCCAGCATCAACCGGCATTATCATTATCGTAATCCTTCCTATTTATAAGGAGATTATCCCTTATTAGTAAATCGTATTTACCACTCAAATTACAAGCACACCTGAGCCAAAAACCACAAATGCAAACCACTAAACCCGAATTTCCTTCAACAACATTACCCATTGTGTATTCCGCCTATTCAAGTGTCCAAGATGTGCCCTAAACAGCATCATTACAATAAGCTGACCAACAGGTGTACAACGAAACCCTTAGTTCATCATCCACTTTGCTACCTGAGCAGTGTCCTTGACATATTTCTTTTGTACGCCGCAAATTTGCCATTTCCCGTCTTCCTATGGAAAGTTTAGCTATTTCTACGGTAATTTAGACTTTTTAGATGGTAGATGTTAATTTTTAGTTGTTAGTTTTTTTTTGCAACGCAGTAGCACGTGGTTTGGATGCGTATTTCAAGGCAGGTGTTTTCGATAAGGTCATTGATGATATATAAGTATTACAGGCAGAGAAAATAATTTCTTCAACTATCTAAAACCAAAAAGCTTCATCATGAATCATTTCGTGTTTTAATAGGTGATTTTATACGTTTTATATGAAATCAGTATCAGGTAATAAAATAATCCGAGACGTCGGCAAGTTTGTAGCAAAGCTCGGTCTTTCTTTGAACCCCAAATCTAATAAAATACAAGAAATACACGTAAATAAATCATAGCTGTATTCATACCTTTGACGTTCATATTCAGAGCTAAGTGTACGTCGGTCTCATCTAATACATAAATATCAGTTCGTTACCATCTGCATCCATCGCATATTCAAATGTATAAAGTAACAACACACTTATTATCATTAGCTCACAATTTGGTCTATATTTAGAAGGTTGTTTTAATGGATACATTATCAAGCTGAATGTGAAATTAACCAGAACGATATTAAGCTTCGAGTAAGATTGAGATGACGTTTTCGATAGGAAGGTTTTAATCTTAATGTTGAACACGCTTGCAATTAGACTATGTATGATGTGTAAAAATAACGTAATTTTGTAGACTCTTAATGAACACCCGGTAATCATGAATTTATAATAATAAAAATTTTATGGGTATGTGTTTGCTTAGGTTGTCGTCATGTCGAACTTTTCTTCATTGCTAAAATGACCGCATCTTTGGCGATAATAAAACTCACAATAATAACAATACCTTGGTGATAGGGTGAAGTCAAACATTTGCTTGCAAATCTGAAAAAACTCAAAAAAGATATAGATACAGGGTATACTTTTTTCGGTTTTGCGTCAGCTGACCCAGACACTAGTAATAAACGCACAAATAATAATAACAATATCGACCTGTAGTAAACGCTCGCCTGCGATCGTGCTTCCCCGCAGCTATGATCCGAAGACAAGAAAAAAACCGCATTCGGACGGGGCACCTTTATAAATCATTTGTAATAGTTATTGCTTCTTCGAGAAGGCCGAGTCCGCGATGGTTGCATCCTGACTGCTGCGTGGCTACAGATAATGGCCTTGATAATGGGCACGGATATTGAATAGGCTTATTTATGAGATGCGTCGTCGACAGAGGTCTCTCGCTGCGGGGCAGCTAGCTTTCAGGCGGAACGTAGGTGCTACTAGCCTCTATCTACCCTAGTACTCGTAGTAGTATTTATTGACCATAGAGGAAAAAATAAATAAAAGTACTACTTAAGAACTGGACGTATCCCAGATTACTAGTTTGGATTGGATTCAGCAGTTAAATTATCATTTTGTTCATGGTGTTTCATTTTATTCCGGAGTGATGTTCACGGTAACATAGGGTATGCATGCGAACGCCCCTCTTAACGAAGCTAATTAATATGGACCCGATACGGCGCTACATCATGTTAGCCTAATTAATGTTTTGTAGTGAAACATTAACATTTGTTAAGAATTTCCAGCTAATGATTTCAAACGGAACCGAATAAATCGTCATAAAGCCATCAGTTAGCCCATAAAAATATAACGCTCTGTATGCGTACGCGTTGCATAATGCATGGTAATTCTTAATAAACTATGAAAAACAGTTCGTGCGGTGATTAACAGGACGTTGTCGTTCCGAGAAATAAATCATTTTGAAGAGCCAACGTACGAGTCATTAAAATTATTAATACCCTAACGTTTGATGGAAATTATTCGTTGGTAAACGTGGAAATAACTTGCTTGGAAGCCAGAAGAATCTTGCCATGAATGCGAACATCAAATTTTCTGAAAACTACGCCCGGTGCACCCCAAGGATCGGTACTTGGGCCGCTACTTTTCCTTTTATATACTGCTCTTTCAATTTTCAAAGTTCGACAATCTTGCCATAAATGCGAACATCAAATTTTTAGAAAATTACGTCCGGTACACCCCAAGGATCGGTACTAGGGCCGCTACCTTTTCTTTTATATATCGCTGACTTGTCAAGAAATATCAACAGCTCCTTTACTGCTTTGACATATCTAATGTCCACGATGCTTAAACTATTTTAAACTCTGATATTGAAAGGCTCTTTCAATTTTCAAAGTTCGACAATCTTGCCATAAATGCGAACATCAAATTTTCAGAAAATTACGTCCGGTGCACCCCAAGGATCGGTACTTGGGCCGCTACTTTTTTTTTATATATCGCTGACTTGTCAAGAAATATCAACAGCTCCTTTACTGCTTTGACATAGATAATATCCACGATGCTCAGGCTAATTTAAACTCTGATATTGGAAGGCTATTTCAATTTCCAAAGTCGCACAATCTTGCCATAAATGCGAACATCAAATTTTCAGAAAATTACGTCCCGTGCACCCCAAGGATCGGTACTTGGGCCAATACTTTTTTTTTATATATACTGCTGATTTGTTAAGTAATATCAACACCTCCTTCACTACTTTGACATAGATAATATCCACGATGCTTAAACTATTTTAAGCTCTGATATTGAAAGGCTCTTTCAATTTTCAAAGTTCGACAATCTTGCCATAAATGCGAACATCAAATTTCCAGAAAATTACGTCTGGTGCACCCCAAGGATCGGTACTTGGACCGCTACTTTTTCTTTTATATACTCCTGACTTGTCAAGAAATGTCAACACCTCCTTCACTACTTTGACATAGATAATATCCACGATGCTTAAACTATTTTAAGCTCTGAAATTGAAAGGCTCTTTCAATTTTCAAAGTTCGACAAACTTGCCATAAATGCGAACATCAAATTTTCAGGAAATTACGTCCTGTGCACCCCAAGGATCGGTACTTGGGCCAATACTTTTTTTTATATACTGCTGATTTCTTAAGACATATCAACACCT